ACTCAGCTTCAGGTCGAGCTGTTGTTCACCATCTTAGCTGTAGAGGGCGCAGCGTCACTGGCCCATGTGGGACACGTGGGATCCCAACTGGGGCCCTGGTGCTCCGAGCTTGCGCTTCCAAGCCAACTCTTAATCAAGGAGCCACTCTGCCAACCCAATTTACATTTCTTTTCATCTCTCCAATGCCTCTCTACTCAGCAAACTGTAGACCCCAGAACTTAAATTGCTTATTTTGTTACAGGTACCAAAAAGCTAAAAGAAAATATTATCATGCTACTGTTATCAAGCATACCCTTTTATTTCTTGCCTCAAAAAAGTGTTATATGTTTTCTTAAGATTATAAATATAAAAATTTTCATTGTAGAAATTTTGAAAAGAACCCAAGAGGAAAATAAGACTATTTAGAAGAAAATAAAAATCATTTATAACCTCTCTCTTAATCACTATTAATATTATGGTGTATTTCTCTCCAAGCTATTTTTAATGTATAAATGTACTTTATAAGTTACTAGAATGATTAGTTTCATGGTGGATATACTCTTTTATAGCAGCTTTTTACACTTTGTAATATATTGTGAATATTTTCTCATGTCATTAAAAGTTTTCATATAATGAAATGTTCTCATATGATAATATTAAATGTCACAATAATAATAATGATAATGTTGCCACTGACTGAGTGCCGATTATATGTCGTGCTATCCTAGGTGTTTTACATATACCTTCTTTTATCCTACCAGCAATCCTAAAAGGCAGCTTTCATTGCTCTCATTGTATAGGTAAAAGAGCTGTGGCTCAAACAGGTTGAGTAATTTACTCAAGGATGCACAGTAACCAGCACATCTTGACTCTTTCTCTACTCTTTTTACTATAACACATTCCTCCCTTGATTTTTAATGACTGCGTAGTGTGACATCAGGTTAAAAATACCATAATTTATCTAACTCTTTTTCTACTTCAGATAATTGTTTGATTTTTTTTGCTATGATTAAATAACATGTAGAGTATGATTCATTTTTAATAAACAATATAAATAACATATAAATATATATGTATGTATATATTTACCTATACATGCATTAAATAAAAAGGGTCTAACAATTAACAGCAGTTATCCCTAAAAAATAGGACTGCATGGAGTGGATGGGAAAGAAAAGGGAAAGTTTCCATTTTACCTTATTCACGTCTATCTGGCTTAAAATATTTTTTTAAATCACAAGCATGTATTTTTAGAGTAATTAAAAAACTGATAAGACGCTTTAGTCACGACTTTTGTATGAGAATCCTTGGGCACATTCCTGATTATTTTCTTTGGATAAATTTCCAGAAGAAATAATAAGTCAAAAATAGGAGCATTTTAAAGTTTCGTATTAATACTCTAAGATTGCCTTCCCAAAACGATTTTACAGTTTATAGACTTAACACCTGAATATATGATTCCATTTTGCTGCTTTCTGCCTCATAGTGGTTATTAACATTCTTTTTGTCTTTTCCAATTTCACAGATGAAATGTTACATCAAATTTTGTTTTAGTTTTTATTCTTTAATGACTGAGTGAGACTGAATTTTTTTGTTTATCAGCCATTTTTATTTCTGTATATCAGCCATTTATTTTGTGTGTGTGTGTTTCCTATTCATGTATTTTGCCATATTTATATTGGAGTTTGCCAAAATACATTTTTAATTAATTCTTATTAATTGCCAGAATTCTTTATATATTACAAATACAAAATCTTTGTCAAATATATTGCCAGTATTTTTTAACCTAACGTATGTTTGCTTTTAATTTTGTTTATAATATTCATATGAAAAATAGTAGTTAAAATTTTTTTAAGGAGCTAAATCTATCAGTTGAGTAGGAGTAATTCAGCATTTTTTGTTTTGAAACTCATATGTACTGTCTATACCATTCAAATTGGTGGGGGGAAGATATTGAAGCTTAGAAGGGTTAAAGAACTTACTGGATACGTAGCTAGGAGGTCACAAAGCTGGGATCGAGAATGTTAGTTTTTTACAAAGTCTTATTTCTAAATGAGGATGAGAAATTTGGAAACACACATTATGTGTGGGTCAGTGGTAAAGACCTTACAGAAGGAGCAGTGGAGAGGAACAGGTACCCATGGAGGCCAGAAAGGTGGGGCAACTGGTCTGGAAGTCAGGGTAGAAATGAGAAGTTGGCAAAGTGCCAAGAATGAGAGACTGAGGGGAAAAAGTAGAAATGAGGTGTGGCCACTGCCATCGACACCAACACATTGGAAAAGTATTGTTCAGCAAGTATACATGAAGTCACAAGAGACAATTTTTATTTGAAAATGAAAAATGCATTAATCTTAATACAGAACTTTACCGGTCTGATTTATGTGATATGTAACACATTTTTGTGTTTAAATATTATTTCTTTCTTCTTGACAGTGATTGCTCCTGGACGATTGCGTTTTTATAAAGAGTTCCTTTGCTGCTAAATGATAAATACAAAATAACTTTTCTCTAGATGCCTAAATAATTAACACAGCATCACCAGCCCAACTGAACTTAAAAATTTTTTTTTAATTTTTCAATTGCAGTTGACATTTAATATTATATTAGTTTCAGGTATACAGCATAGTGGTTAGACATTTATATAACGTACAAAGTGGTCACCTGGCTAGGTCTTACCCACCTGACACCATATATAGTTATTACAATATTATTATTATTATTATTATTTTTAAAGATTTTATTGGGGAGTTGGGGGAGAGAATAGACAAGTTGCTATCTTTTGGTTCTTAAGTCTAGTTGTGGAGGACGTCGCTTCACTGGCCCATGTTGGTATTGTGATCATTGTGCTCTTCCTGGCTGAGGCAGATCGGTCACTGGCCATTGGACGGCCGCTCACAGTGGCTCGCAGCAGCTCAAACTAGCTGCTGGCGGCTCACGCTGGCTGCCAGCCACTCACAGTAGCTTACGGCAGTCCACTGCAGCCCCACTGCAGCCTACGCCGTCACCGGTGACTCACGGCAGCCCAGCTCCAAGTCGAGCTGTTGTTCACCATCTTAGCTGTAGAGGGCACAGTGTCTCCGGCCCATGTGGGATCCAAACCGGTGGACCTGCTGCTCAGAGCTTGCACTCTGAAGCCAACTCTTAATGAACGAGCTACTCAGCTGGCCCTACAATATTATTGACTATATTTCCTAAGCTGTATTCTATATTCCTGTGACTATTTTGTAGCTGCCAATTTCTACTTTTTATCCTTTCACCTTTTTCATCCAGCCCCCCAACCCTCCTCTCATCTGTCAACTATCAGTTTGTTCTCTGTATCTATGAGTTTGTTTCTGTTTTGTTTGTTTATTTTCTTTTTTAGATTCCACATATAATTGAGATCATATGGTATTTGTCTTTCTCTGTCTGACTTATATCACTTAGCATAATACCCTCTAGGCCCATCCATGTTGTTGCAAGTGGTGAGATTTCATTCTTTTTTATGGCTGAGTAATATTCCATTGCATAGATGTACCGCTTCTTCTTCACCCATTTGTCTTTTGATTAGAGCATTTAACCCATTTACATGTAAAGTAATTATTGATAGATACATAGTTATTGCCATTTTTTAATTGTTTTCTAATTGGTTCTGTAGTTCTCTGTTCCTTATTTTCTTGCTCTCTTCTCTTGTATGTTGATGACTTTCTGTAGTATTGTGTTTGGATTCCTTTTTATTTATTTCTTGTATATCTCTTGTAGATTATTGGTTTGTGGTTACCATGTGCTTCATATACCAGAGGTGCCAAAAAATGTATACACATGTCTTGTAGTCATCTTTTGTTATTGGTATATATTGAGTATTACAATTTTAATACAGGTTTTTCCTTTCTTAAAACGTATATACATTTTTTTGGCACACTCTATATATGAAGCTATGTTTATAGCAGTCTGTTTTAAGTTGATAGTCCCTGAAGTTTGAACACATTCTAGAATCACTACCGTTTTTACTCAGTCCCTCCATGTTTATGTTTTTGTTATTATGTTTTACTTCCTTTGTGCATTTGTATGTTTGTGTGTATCCTTTAGTTTCCTGTTGTAATTACACATGATTTCCTACTTTTGTCTTTTAACCTTTGTATTAGCTTTAGTATTGGTTGATCCACTGCTTTTATTATGTTTGCCTTTGTCAGTGAGAATTTTTTTCTTTATATTTTCTTATTCAAATTTTTTATTTTTTCTTCTTAAAGAAGTCCCTTTAACATTTCTTCTACTTCCCTCCCCCCCCCCCTTTAACATTTCTTGTAATACTGTTTTGGTGGTGATGAACTCCTTCAGCTTTTTTTTTTTGTCTGGAGCCAACTGAACTTTTAATACAGCAAAACTTCATCAGAAATATTTATTTTTTGTTTATGATTGTCATTGACAAACCATTGATTAAATATTAACATAAGACACTTTGCTAATTCTAGAAATATTTCCTGATGTTGAGAGATTGGTTTCAGAAGTGCCATTAAAAGCCAGTGAAGGGGCAGCCAGTTAGCTCAGGTAGTTAGAGCACGGGCTCATAACACCAAGGTTGCCAGTTCGATTCCAACATGGGCCGTGGAGCTGCGCCCTCCACAACTAAATTGAAACAACCACTCAACTTGAAGCTGATGAGTCCTGGGAAAACACACGGTTCCCCATTAAAGTTAAAAAAAAAAAAAGCCGATGAAATCCTGGAAAACTTTAGATCAGCGGTTCTCAGCCTGTGGGTTGTGACCCCTTTGGGGGTCGAATGACCCTTTCACAGGGGTCGCCTAAGACCATCGGAAAACAAAAAGATATTTACATTATGATTCATAACAGTAGCAAAATTACAGTTATAGAGTAGCAACGAAAATAATTTTATGGTTGGGGGTCACCACAACATGAGGAACTGTATTAAGGGGTTGTGGCATTAGGAAGGTTGAGAACCGCTGCTTTAGATGGAAGTGAGCCAAAAGCATGCTCTTGAAAGTAAGTTATCTTTACAGACTATTCTATCTCTTAATATAATTTAGATGCCCATCCAAGAAAAAGAAGCTTCAAAGAAAGAAGTCATTCTTCTGGCAAAGATGAAACACCCTAACATTGTAACCTTCTTCAGTTCATTTCAAGGTTTGACTTTCTAGCATTCTTAAATTATTTTAATAAAGTATAAGCATGTAGACTTCTATAAATGATATGTTCCTGAGAACTGTGTATAGTTTTTGTGAATGGACTCGTTTTCCCATTTACTTAAATTGTAATTTAGGACATCATCTTTATTTCTTCTTTAGTGAGTTTTTGTAGACAGCTTTCCCACATTTTCTTCAGTGTTCTCTCCTCTCTTTAATTCTTACTCCTTCAAATAGTTCAAATTTGCAGTAACAACACCCAAATTTCAGAGACCTACAGTAATACACACCTATTTCTCACTCATTCCATGTTAGTTGTGGGTGGGCTGGAGTCTTAAATCTGGGGTGCAGGTGGAAGGGGCAGCCCAGATACGGAGCATGCTGTTCTCCTGAGCAAGAGAAAAGGGCACGACAGAGAGCCCGCCACACCATCACTCTCAGAGCCCTGCTAGGATGTGGCATGCTTCTCGTTTTCCTTAAGGGCTCACATTCCTTTTGCAAAGCAGCCTCACAGCTAACCTTGATAATGGAGTGGTGAGGGGAGGGTATACTCTGCCCACATGAACTCCTGGAGGTCCTGTGGCAAGGGGGGTGGGGCTGTCCAGTCCTCTTACAGAGAGGCAGCTAACAGCCAGGCACCATGGCCATGCAAATGGCATAGAGGGGAAAACTTAAAGGAAGCAACCCTTCCATTTGCACACTTGAATTCAAAATCTGTCTCCATCCATCACTCTACTCTAAAAGTAAGAACAAAACAAAACAAAAATAAACATGAAAAGTGCATGGGTCAGAAACCATCCATTCACTTAACAAATGTTTCTCGAATGCTTAATACATGCCAGGCATTGTTCTAGGTGACAGGAATAGAGCAATGAACAAAACAGGCAAAAATTCCTGTCCTGATGGAGATTACATTCTAGTGGGAAGAGAGACAATATACACATACCCAGTCTGTCAGGTGCTTATAGGCTGTGACAGGGCTGCACGTGCCCACGGTTCACCAGGGGCATTTCCCATCCCAGCGCTCTGCACTGTGGTGCTCATTCGTAGGTGGTAAGTAGTTCATGGAGGAAGAGTGTTACCTAGCTATCTTCAAGCACCAGCAGGGGGCTAAAAATCAGTAAATAAATGAACATGAACACTGTTATTTGAGCTTTCACACTGTGCAGGGCACTGTATCTTACAAATGAAAACCACTTCATTCAAAATAGTCTCTGTGTGCAGCCCTCTTTAGCTGCTGGGTATTTAAAAGACTCTCAGGGACTCTTCTGAGGTCTTCCTGGGAGCTGAGCAGTACACATGTATCAAAAGAGTTTTAAGGGACAGCCACTAAACAAAGTGTCTACATTCTTTTTTATTATAAAAAAAGTAAAATTTTTAAGAACTTTATTTCACAAAATATGTAAAACCCTTAAAATACCCTGACATCCCAACCCATTTTTGGTTGTCAAAAGAGAAATAATGTCCATTGAAAGGAAGCTTAGTGAAGGACATTAAAATGATTTGCTTATTTCCCAATTTGGAGTTACTTTGCCAAAGAGAATATAATATTAGTTCTACAGTGAAAGAATTATGCATTTTTACCCCAACTTCAGAGGCAAGATACTTGAGAATTCCAACTAAGTGTTTGTCTCCCACCTTATCATTTAATTGTTAACTCAGAAATAACATCTTCTCAAGGTGCTTATTTTGTCTTTTTTCCCCCTAAAATTTATTTTTCATAAAATAGCTGCTTTGAATGGCTTCTAGCACCAATCACAAGTATTTTTAAAAAAAAGCCTACACATTTTTTCCCTTGTAAACTTGCTTTCTGATCTCTATTTTTTAACTTTAGCATTCTTTAAATTAATCAAAATGACTGAATTTATTTTATGTTTATGCGAATATTTGGAGTTACACAAGTACAGTGTCTACATTCTTGATCGTTGATTCCTAATAACAACAGATCTTTCTTTTCCTCATTCTTTGGGCTATTACTGTGACTCCCTGTCTGGCTGCCTTCTACTCATCCTCAGGCCTTCTCTGACATCACAGTTCAAATTATAGCCCCCTTTACTGAACTTGCCCAGCACTTTCTACTTGTGTGCAAATGTCTGTTTATATAGACAGTTATGAATTGCTTTAATATTTGTCTCCCTTTTAAATAGTAAATTTAATGGATTCTTTTCCACACCACTTGATCCACAGCATCTAGCACATAGTAGGTGCTCAATACAGTATTCACTGAATGAATGCATGGAGTGGACCATTTTAAAGACTGGAATATGATTTTATACCATAAAAAAATGGATATTTGAGGGCAGCTTACCCTGGGTACTATTATAAAATTAGAGGTCATTTTTACAGTATAAATGACCTCCACTGAGTTTGTTTATATTGTAAACTTAAATTTTCCAATGACAGCTTTTATCTTTTTTTAAGTAGAGCACCCCTGTGCTTAGAAAACCTAGAGCTATTGTGTTGCCTTTTCATTTGCCTGGAAGATTGTTGGCACTTAAAACACCAAGCTTCTCTGAAAGCCTCAGAGGTCCTTGCAGCCCCTGACTACTGGGGATTGGAGATCAAGCCTTTGCTTCCCCTCAGACAGCTCTCGTATTTCTGAACAGAAGGACCCGGCTCTAGTTCATTAAATGTTTCTCTGTAGGGACTATGAAGTTGTACAGGTTTGAAGCAACATACGGAAATAAGGAGAATGTGGTGAGATTCTCCTGAGGCTAAATTAATTCCACTTACATTTCTTCGGTAAATGTTTATCAAGTACCTATTATATGCCAGGCATGTTCTAGGTCTCGGGGATATACATACCTCAGTGAACAAAGTAGGCAAAAATCACTGCAGTGTTGTTTTCTGTCACTGTGTAACAACGACTGCATTGTTAGTGGCTTAAACCAACACCCACTTATCTCCCAATTTCTCTATGTCTGAAGTCTGGTCTTGGCTTAGCTGGATTCTCTGCTCAGGGACTCACATAGTAGAAATCAAGATGTCAGCTGGTGCTCATAGTTCTCTTCCACGCTTGTTCAAGTTGTTGGCAGAATTCATTTACTTGCAGTTGTAGACCTGAGGTGTCCTCCTTCTTGCTGGCTGTTAAGTGGGGGGTGGTTCTCTGCTTCTAGAGGCCAACTTCCCTCCCCTACCATGTGGCCTTTTAAGAAGCCCTCGCCTGCATAGAATCTCTTAACTTCCTCTGTCTCTGACCTCTAAGCCCAATTTTATTTTATATTATTTTATTTTTTAGCTGAGCTGTCCTGCCACCTGTTGGCAGCTCAGTGGCAGCTCAGCTCGGGCTGGGAATTGAACTGGTGATGCTGTTGCTCAGAACTCACACTCTTGAGTGAGCTCTTAACCAACTGAGCCACTCAGCCCCTCTAAGCCCAATTTTAAATGGCTCCTGTGATTAAATCAGGCCCACCTCAATAATCTCTGTTTCTATTAACTCAAAATCAGCTGATTAGTAACTTTCATTATATCAGCAAAACCCCCTTTGCTAACATAACATCATTCTGGGAGTGATATTCCATCATCTTTCCAGGTTCTGCCCTCACTCAAGGGGAAGAAGTTATACAATGTGTGTGCACTAGGGCCTACTACAACTGTGGAGTTTACATTTTAGGGGGGAGGGCAGGGAGAAAGACAGACAATAAATGTAAACATGATAAATACAATTTAGACAATCTGTTAGAAGGGGATAAGTGCTGTGGGAAAATAAAATAAGGTGAGGCAGGAATGGAGGGAACAATTTTAAATAGGGTGGTCAGGATGGGCCTTATTGTGAAGGTGACATTTGAGCAAAGACTTGAAGAGTCATGCTACTGTCTGGAAAAGAGTTTTCTAGGCAAGAGGAACAGCCACTGCAAAGACATGAGGCAAGAGCACATTATGAGTCCACTGATTAGAGTACTGAATATTCTTATTTGCATAGGCTAGTCCCTTCATTTATGATTTCTGATATTTTTAGAGTTGAGTAAAAATTTACAGATACTGTGTGTGCACAATCCTTTAAAAGTGTTCCCAGTTATTTTCCACTTGCTCCATCCAACATTTAAGGCAATGACTTTTTTTAGCTATTCACTTTTAGAGTCATCCAAAGCCTTCAATGTAGTTTTTGTGGAAATAATCACATCTTTCTTTTCCCATTCATATTTCATCAGTTATGTAATAATTACAATAACAAGTATAATTGGCATAAACAGATTTGGGAACACACACAATGGTCTTGGTAAAAATCAGTGGGAGCAGAGGCAACTGGGCCTACTAGAGTCAAATAGCCACCAGTGGTAACCTTGAGTGGGCAGCCCTAGTGGAGTATGCCCATTGATCTAGTGAGTAGGTCAGGCAGAGGTCAGTTAAAAGAGTGTCTATTGTACTCAATAATGTGGTCAAATAAGTGCTATATAAATAAAAATTTATTCTCAAATTCAAGAAGAGTCTATTTATTCTTCTTGGGGTGTTGGGAAAGATAGCTGCTATTTTATAGCAGATTTCTAATCTCTTGCAGGAATATATTAATAATAATAGCTAACATTTATTGAACTGTCATTATGTGCAGGCATTATTCTAAGCACGACATGGATTAACTCATTTACTCATTACAACAATTCTAAGAGGAGTTTCTATATTATTATCTCCATTTTACAGATGAGGTAATGAGGCACAGATAAATTAAAATAACTTGCTTAGAGTCACAGAGCTAAGAAATGTAAGTGGTGAAGCGAGATTAGAGCACAGCCCATCTTGATCCTATAGCCAGAGTTGTGTGTGTATATGTATGTGTATAATATATATATATATATATATATATATATATATATATATATATATACACACACACACTAAATTTTGCTGTTATAGTCTCCATTTTCTAGAACTTGAAATGCAAATGTTTATTAAATGTCTGAAACCCTTCCAGAACCAAATGATGCCTTTTCTTACAGAGAACAACAGGCTGTTCATTGTGATGGAGTATTGTGATGGAGGGGATCTCATGAAAAGAATCAATAGACAACGGGGAGTGTTATTTAGTGAAGATCAGGTAAAAACACTTCTAATTTGCCTTTTAATTTATATGGGGGCATTACATTTATAATGCTATAAGTAGCAGACTGTGTTTAGATGAATCGTGATTTCTAGTAGAGAAATTCAAACCATAAAATAGTAGATCAATGTTCCTGATAGATTTAGTCCAGAGCATGTTTGCAATTGAACTTAAATTGAATCTTTCTGAATGAAGTTTGCTTCAGAAAAGATAGTGTCATATTTTTGGACAGCCTCATATAGGACACCCCTGTAGATGGTCCTTAGCCATTTTAAGTGTGACATATTTATAGTTTCACTCTTCCTCCTTTTACCATTTGGTATTCTGTTTTAAAATAGCTATCCCACTTTGCTAAGAAAGATAGAAGCTCTTCCTAGCAATGGCTATTTAGTTTCATTGGTTATTAAGAGAGAGAAGCAAAAAAGGTAAAGAATAATGGTCACAATTTCCGTTTTCTCTTTTCATAAACACATTTTTCTTCTATACTCTGAGCTTCCTTTGGATACCTCTTGGGAGTGGTACTCATGAAGGAGACAGGTATGTGTGTATGGAGAGGAATCTGAATCAGGGCCTGTGTGATTGATGGGAAAGGTCACTGCCTTAAGTAGTGCCCAGGAGTGGCCCACCATCTTCCTATAGGCCATTTGTTCCTTGGTTCTATGTTAGCGTTTAAGACCATCATACCCATATGACTTCCTCCTAGAGTTAAAATGGAATATTTTGAATGATTAAAGAATCCATATCTCTAACCTCTGTAAATTTAATTAAGCATTTTTCCTATGCTCATTTACATTATGTATTAAATTCCATATTTGTAGAAACCTCCTATCTAGGTATTATTTTGCCACATTTAACAAAAATACTTTACAAAATTTTGAATTACATTTTCCTTTGGTGGGACAGAACTAAAATTACAACTGAATTATAGTATCTGGAATATGGCTTTTTTCCCCCTATGGTTTTCCTTTCTGTATAATTTGGAGGACAAAGAACGAATAGAATTTTAGGATAGTTTAAATAAATCTCTGTAGGCACGGAACACATTTTACTAAAGAGGCTCATGACCAGCTAAGAAAAATTAAATCGTGACTAAAAAAGTTAAGCTTTAAAAAGTTTAAGGGGCCGGCTGAGAGGCTCAGTTGGTTAAGAGCTCGCTCAAAGGTTTGAACTCTGAGCAACAGCGGTTCGAGTCTGGCCCGAGCTGAGCTGCCGCTGAGCTGCCAACAGGTGGCAGGATGGCTCAGCTAAAAAAAAAAAAAAAAAAAAAGTTTAAAAGTAAAATTTTTGTTCTTATATTATAATCATATATATTGATATTTCATTAAAATTTTTAATAACCTTACATACTATCCATTTCTTCATCTTTCTCTCTCTGCCCTTCGCATCCTCCTCCTACTGAAAAGAAAAAACCAGTGGCACCAGGGTTATCAAGAAACAGGGCTGCTAGTCTACCATCCTGATACAGTTAGGAATCTAGTGTTAAGAACAAAGAAAATCATGAACTGCCTTCCTCTCTCCCTTGCTTCTATTTGTCTTTTGTGTATGTGGAGTTCCCTTTGATACCAACACATTTGGATTGACTTTTGCACCTCCATTTTTCTAGCTGTAAAAAGAATATAATATGATAAGATGGTGTATCAATTAGCTTCATTCATATAAGCACATACATAAATACATTGTTTCTCTTTTTGCATATTATTATGAAGACAATTCAGTGACCACCAGACTACTCACTAGTTTTGTTTTATGTTCCCTCTATAGATTCTGAGTTGGTTTGTGCAGATTTCTCTGGGATTAAAACATATTCATGACAGGAAGATCTTACACAGGGACATAAAAGCCCAGGTAACAACAGATCAGAGTGAAGAGCAAGACAGAACTGATCTTTTGTGTTTTTGAAATTTCTCAAACAATATAGCGTTTTCTCCATTTATAGAATATTTTTCTTAGCAAGAACGGAATGGTTGCAAAGCTTGGGGACTTTGGTATAGCAAAAGTTCTGAACAAGTAAGTACTTTTCAAAATCATATTTTTTTCTATTCATAACAGCCAAAATATATACTTTTAGGTATCGTAAATTAAGAAGATATTAAAAGCTTGGTTTCCAAATAATTTAACTGTTTATATAAATCTATTAAATCATTCAAATGGTACTTTGTCTGAAATTAAAATTCTCAAGATAAATCTTGGCATAATAGAATGTTGGTGGCGATGTTGTGCAGTGTGATCTAAACTTACCAAATGAGACATAACTTTAATATGCATAAAGCTAGTGAGAATTTAGTGAACCAGGCAAGTTCACACATGCTGGGGGAATATATTGGTGTAACTGGTTTGGAAGACAATTTGGTGGTAGTTCAAAAGATTTTTAACTGTTCTATTTTTGGGAATTTGTTCTAATGGAATAATTTATTTTTTTATTACTTTTTTTAAAAATTAAATTTTATTGGAGTGGCAATAGTTATCGAAGTTACATAGGTTTCATGTGTACAATTCTGCAATACATCATCTATCTGAAATGGTTAAATGGTTAAATGCATAGCCAGTACGTGAATAGTATATAGCCACTAACAAGCATGATTTTGAGTACTTCTTGATGATATGAAGAAATGTTTGTTATATTAGGTAAAAAATGAAATTCTCAATTTTAGATACACTATGGTCACAGTACTGTGAAAAATATGCATGGAAAAAAGATAGGAAGGAAAGTTATCACAATTTTAATAATAATTGTTTTTGGGTGGTAAGATTATGGATAACTTTTTTCTTCTTTATTTACTTTCATATTTTCCAAATTTTTAGATCAAGAGATTACATTACTTTGATAATTGGAAATAAGGGACTCTTTCTCCATCTGAGAAATTTTTGTAATATGACAATTGTCCCTCTTTGTTGAAACTTTAGGCCATAACATTCTTTTAGTGTGTAGATTTTGGGGCGGTGAATTATAAGTTTAAATATCAACTATTTTTATCATTCTGTTATCAATGTACAATATGTTCTTTATTTTAATATGTGCCTGCATCAAATTTTGTTATCCATTTTTATACTTTTTTATATGTTCATATCTTAAGCCTTTTCTTACTCCAATAATAAGCTATGTTATTTTGCTATTCAATATAATTTGTTAGTTCCATGGAACTTGCTCAAACTTGTATTGGAACACCTTACTACCTGTCTCCAGAGATCTGTCAGAATAAGCCCTACAACAATAAAACGTGAGTTGCTGACTATTGGTTTGAAAGTTTCAGTAAAATTTGATGGATTCTCTCTTTCTTATGGTACTTTTATAATTTCATTTTCTTCATGTGTGAAATGGCAATTTCAGTGACTGTCCCTGGCCACTTCATGTTCCCAGAAGCTTTTGAACTTATTTAGAATAAAGAACATTTTCTTTATTTAAAAATACAAGTGATAGAAAGGATAATATTGAAAATTACAGTCATTGTGATGTCCATGTTTGTATTTGACTTTCATGTCTTCTAAGCACTACTTAGGACATTGCAGAAAAGTGTTGTAGGTGGGCTAGATAGAAGGCAGTGTGGTGTGGTGACAAGAGCACTGGATTAGGAACTCGGAGTCCTAGTCTTGTATAGGGGTTCAGAATGAGTCACGCCAAGATGTGCCTCTGTGGTATGTGGATTATTTCGAGCTAAAGGCAACCAAGACTCAAGAGAAACTTTTGCTCTCCTTTAATTACCTACAAGAATTGAAATTAGGGGCCTTGCCCATAATAAGAGATTATCAGAGATAGCCTTTTTGACCTATATATGGCAGGGCAAACTTTTAGTTACTGAATATTATCTGCTCTTCTTATGTCCTGCAATGACCTTCCTCCCCTCTGAAGCCCCAAGGTACCTTGCCTCATCCTTAGCTTAGAATGCCATATATACTTCATTTCCCCTTTCTGTCCCTAATTTCTCATGTATGTTGGTCTCTGACTCATGTATGCAGGGTTCCCATATGTACATATATAATTAAATTTGGTTATTTTCTCTTCTTAATCTTTCTCATGTATATTTATTAGACCAACTGAAAAAACCTTGAGGGTAGAGGAAAGTTTCTTCCTCCCCCACACCGGGCTCTGTCATCAGCTTGACCAAATCAGTTGACCTCTGTGGGCCGCAGTTCCTCTACCTATACCAACAAAAGTGTTGGCTAGGTAATCATTAAGGTATCTTCCAGCTTTAAAACTCAGCTGGTTTTTATGAATGTGATACCAGAGCCTAGCTCTGAGGAGTAATATTAAAATACACAGTGATAAAAGATGAAGATGAGGTAGTTTTTAACTTCCACGTAAGAAGGAAAAAAATTTCACTTGTCAAAGATGGCTGCCAGTTGAACCAGTTGGCCTATCAGGAAGACTGAATTCCTTTTGTGAGTTAATTGTCCATTTGTTTAGAAAAATATCCAAGGGATATTTGGCTGTTTGATTTGAAACTGAAATGGAAAGCAAAACCCAGCTGGTAGAGATTTACAAAAAGAATAGTAAACATTTCTCCACATACTAAAAGAACAGGTATTTTTTTGGAACTATACCCTGGCACCAAAAAGGCATTTGGCCTCAAGTTGAGCAGGAATGCAGCTAGTATAGGGCTGGGTGGAAGGGCATGCTCTCTAGAGCAGAGTTTAGTGCTGCTGCCAGCTGAGAGCCCTAAGCTAAGCAACACTGTTCTGTTTCTTTGTGCTGTTTGAGAATTTGGGTCAACATTCAAATATATTGATTTGGTGATTCTGATAATTAGAAGTTTTCAGCAATAATCAGCTGCCTCCTTTAGAGCAGGAAATCATCCCCAGGATTACCACAGTCCTCACCACATAGGGAGGTACAAAGGCATACAAAAGTTGCCACTCAGTCCCAGGTGGCTTCATATCCTGGAGAGCTCTGTAGGCACATGAATTCACCACACTGTCAGCAGAGGGTGCTCTGGGACAGAGGAGGAGTTTGGGCCTAGGGAAGACCAGGTAAAGAGAAAATTTTGTGTGATGGGGGGAAGTGATCAGTGAGCTTCTAGAAACTCTAGAAAATTTCTAGAAACCAATCAGAAGTTGTTTCCTACCTCTTCTGTAATCACCCTTCATTGTACTCAAACCTGTAGTATATCTCTCTCTGCTTCTGCTACACGCCCCCACTCAAAAGAAGTGTTGCTAAATAATGGAGCCATTTACCTCACCTTACTGAATACCTCTTGTTTTGACTCTTTGACTATCTTCTCACTTTCTTGACTTCTCATTATGTTTCCCTTGGTCCCTTAGATTTAATTATGCTTTTTGTTGTATAAGTTAACTCTTAATTAAACCAATCACATATAAATAGTAAGTACTAAGTACTAAAGAGCAAGTCTCTAATCATATATTGTAAGCACGTTTTTCAAGTTTATTGAGTTCCAGTACTATTTTCATCACTTAATAAAACGTTGGTTCTGTCAATAGCCTTGAGGGGAACATACCTTTCTAAATCAACCAAAATTTACTTTTAGAATCAAAATAAATCCATGTTTGAGTCCTGCCTCCTTCCAAATTGCTCAAAATTCCATTTTGTTTGAGCACATGATGTTGAAGTAAATATTGAGCCATCAGATTGTAGCAAATTTGTATATCTTTTCTTCACTAGGACCCTGACAAACTACAAATTGTTTTTATTTTACCTCTTATAGTAGTAAGAATAAGAATTGATAATGTATCTTAAAAATTTCTAAAAACTAGTCAACCTATATAAAATTATAAAGATGGACAAATATAAGGCTTTTATTAAGAACTATGGATATTTTTTAGCATGTAAACTCTTGTCTTCTCCAGGGATATTTGGTCTCTTGGCTGTGTCTTATACGAGCTCTGCACACTCAAGCATCCTGTAAGTATGTTAATTGTCAAATTAATCTTGAATTATTGAAACTATATAAATGAAATTAACTTCTGAGAGAAAAAGGTTAATGTTTATTTTACTAGGTTGTTAAAAATTACATGAACAAGCTATTAAAAATGATAGATCTATATATGCTGACACGGAACGATGTCCAAGCTATATTATAAAGTAAAAAATGCACATTGGAGAATAGTATATGTAGCCTATTTCCATTAAAAAAAAACTGTGAATATAAATAATCAGCAAAGGGAAAAGGTGCATTGGCGAAGTCTGTAGGAAACCAGGCACAAGCTTCCAAGAGCCTGTCCCAGTGGAGTCACACAGGATGCGCTAATTTCTTCAGCAACAAGTTGTGACAACACACGTGCCCACAAAAGCTCATTGGAGACCCAGTGCCCACATTTCTGTTGGAGACTGGTCATGTAGGCAACCTCTACCTGGCATGTACCAAGCTTCCAGTCTCCCAGGAAGACAGCAGGCGTTCAGCATAAACATACTGTTTACATAAACAGTGTAGGCAAAGAGCAACTCTGAACATTTAGGGAATTGTGGGAACTCTCCTGAAGCTTAAGTTACCAGGCATCAGCCAAGGGCCAATACTGTAAGCAGGCCTTTCTAAGGATAACGGAGTTAGGCCTTCCATGTTAACTGTTTTCTACACAGCTGTCATTGTCATCATCATCAGCAGCATTACTTTCCAATATCACACAGCTAGTGTTTACCAAAACCTATATCTTTACTGCAACACCATGCTGCTGAACATTGCTGTTACAGTCATGCATCGCTTAACATTAGAGATACATTCTAAGATATGTGTTGTTCGGTGATTTCATTATTATGCGAGCATGCTGAGCCTCTCTGCCTATTTAAACAACCCAGAGCTAGCAGTAAATTCAACATCATAGTTGGGTCCAGCCTTTCCTTTCAACATCACAAACTTTTTGCTTATAGTCCATTACAATCTTTTTTATTAAATTTATTGGGATGACATTGGTTAATAAAATTATATAGATTTCAAGTGTACAATTCTTAATACATCATCTATATATTTGCATTTTGTGTTCACCATCCACAGTCAAATCTTCCATCACCATATATTTGAACCCCCTTACCCTCATCTACCTCCCTCCTCCTCTCTTTTTTTTTTTTTTAAAGATTTTTATTGGCGAATTGGAACAGTGCTGGGGAATTGGGGGAAGGGGAACAGACAAGTTGCTGTCCTTTTGTTCTTCAGTCTAGTTGTGGAGGACGTCGCTTCACTGGCCCAAGTTGGCACCATCATTGCGCTCTTCCCGGGTGAGGCAGATCAGTCGCCGGCTTCTGGATGGCCCCTCACTGAGGCTGCTGGCCGCTCATGCTGACTACTGGCTACACACGGTAGCCCATGGCAACCCACTGCAGCAGGGGCTGCAGTCTACACCGTCGCCGGTGACTCACAGCCCTTCAGCTCCAGGTTGAGCTGTTGTTCAGTATCTTAGCTGTAGAGGGCAGTGTCACTGGCCCTCATATGCGGGATCCGAACCGAGGCCCTCTGGAGTCCCAAGCCAGCTCTTAACCAACGCGCCACTCGGCCGGCCCTCCTCCTCTCTTACCCTCTGGTAACCACCAAACTGTTGTATGTGTCTGTGAGTTTTTGCTTGTTTGTCTTGTTCATTTGTTGCTTTCAGTTTTATACCCCATATGTGAGTGAAATCATATGGATCTTGTCTTTTTCTGTCTGAATTATTTCACTTAGCATTATATTCTCAAGATCCATCCATGTTGTTACAAATTCAGTATTTTATCTTTTCTTATGGCTGAATAATATTCCATTGTATATATATACTACCACTTCTTTATCCAGTCATCTATCCAAGGACACTTTGGTTGTTTCCATATCTTGGCCACAGTGAATAATGCTGCAATGAACATATGGGTACATATATCTTTGTGGAAAAATGTTTTCAGATTTTTTGTGTAGATACAGAAGAGGGATTGCTGGGTCATATGGTAATTCTATTCTTAATTTTTTGAGGAATCTCCATACTGTTTTCCATAGTGACTATACTAATGTACATTCCCCCTAGCAGTGTATGAGGGTTCCTTTTTCTCCACAACCCCTCCAATATGTGTTATTACTCGTCTTATTGATAATAGCCATTCTAACAGGTGTGAGATGTTATCTCATGGTTTTGATTTGCACTTCCCTAGCAACTAATGAGACTGAACATCTTTTATATATCTGTTGGCCATTTGTAGCTTGTTGGTAGAAGTGTCTGTTCATGTCCTCTGCCCATTTTTTAATTGGATTGTTTGGTTTTTTGTTGTTGAGTTGTACAAGTTCTTTATATATTTTGGATATTAGCCCCTATTGGAGGTGTTGTTTGCAAATATCTTCTCCAATTCGGTTGGTTGCCTCTTTGTTTTGTTGATGGTTTCTTTTGTTGTGCAGAAGATTTTTAGTTTGATATAGTTCCATTCATTTATTTTTGCTGTTACTTCCCTTGCCTTTGAGGTCAAATTCATAGAATCCTAAGACCAAGGTCCATAGTTTAGTACCAAGGTTTTCTTCTGTGCAATTTATTGTTTCAGGTCTTATATTTAGGTCTTTGATCTATTTTGAGTTAATTTTGGTGTATGGTGACAGATAGCTGTCTAATGTTTTTATTTTGCATGTGGCTTTCCAATTTTCCAAGTACCATTTACTGAAGAGGCTTTCTTTTCTCCTTTGTATGCTTTTGACTCCTTTGAGGAAAATTATTTGCCCATACATACAAGGGTTTATTTATGGGCTCTCAAATCTGTTCCATTGGGCTGTGTGTCTGCTTTTCTGCCAATATCATGCTGTTTTAATTATTGTCACTTTGTAGTATAACTTGAAGTCAGGGAGTGTGATACCTCCCGCCTTGTTCTTTTTTCTCAGGATTGATTTGGCTATTTGGGGTCTTTTGTGATCCCAGATAAATCTGATGATTTTTTTGTTCTATTTCTTTAAAAAATGTGGTTGGAATTTTGATGGGGATTGCATTAAATCTGCATATTGCTTTGGGTAATATGGCCATTTTAACTAGTGATTCTTTCTTTCCATTTCTTTTTTTTTTTTTTTAAGATTTTTATTGGGGAATTGGGGGAATGGGAACAGTGCTAGGGAATTGGGGGAAGGGGAACAGACAAGTTGCTGTCGTTTTGTTCTTCAATCTAGTTGTGGAGGACGTTGCTTCACTGGCCCAAGTTGGCACCATCATTGCGCTCTTCTCTGGTGAGGCAGATCAGTCGCCGGCTTCTGGACAGCCGCTCACTGCGGCTGCTGGCCGCTCACGCTGGCTGCTGGCTACATACGGTAGCCCATGGCAACCCACTGCAGCAAGGGGCTGCAGCCTACACCGTCACCGGCGACTCATGGCAGCCCAGCTCCAGGTTGAGCTGTTGTTCAGCATCTTAGCTGTAGAGGGCAGTGTCACTGGCCCTCATATGTGGGATCCGAACCGGGGCCCTCTGGCATCCCAAGCGAGTTCTTAACCATCGCGCCACTCAGCCGGCCCCTCTTTCCATTTCTTTATACCTTCTTCAATTTCTTTTAATAATATCTTTTAATTTTCAGTGTATATCTTTCACATCCTTTGTTAAGTTTATTCCTAGGTATTTTATTCTTTTGTTGCAATTTCAATATTGTAGTTACCAATTTATGTTGTCTAATCCCTTCTTCTTCTCCCTCATCCCCACCCCCGTTCCATCTAGCAATCATCAGTGTTTCCTCTTTGTCTCTGAGACTATTTCTGTATACATTACTCATTTATTCAGTTCTTTAGATTGCACATATAAGTGAGATCATACGGTATTTGTCTTTCTCTGACTAACTTATTTCACTTAGCATAATGTTCTCTAGGTCCATCCATATCATTGCAAATGGTACGATTTCCTTCTTCTTTATAGCTGATTAATACTACATTGTGTAAATGTACCCCGGTTTTTTTTTTTTTTTTTTTTAGTTTCAGGTGTACAAAAAATGCAATAGTTATCCTTTTCACCCCTCACAAAGTGACAAACCTCCTCCGCCCATCCACTGCCCTTCCCACCCCCGATATCATACATATCTATTAAAATTCCATTTACTCCATTTCCACACTATACTCCACATCCCATGACTACATGTACATAAAATTATAGTTGGGCTGGCCGAGTGGTGCATTGGGTAAGAGTTGGCTTGGGACACCAGGTCTGAGCAGCAGAGCCCGGTTCAGATCCCGCATTAGGGCCAGTGACGCTGTGCCCTCTGCAGCTAAGATGGTGAACAACAGCTCTATCTGGAGCTGGGCTGCCGTGAGTCACCAGCAACAACGTAGGCTGCAGTGAAGCTGCAGTGGGCTGCCATAAGCTACCGTGAGTGGCTGGCAGCCAGCATGAGCAGCCGGCAGCCAGCGTGAGCTGACAAGAGTCACTGTGAGCGGCTGTCCAGTGGCTGGCAACTGATCTGCCTCACCCAGAAAGAGCACAATGATAATACCAATATGGGCCAGTGAAGCGACATCCTCCACAACTAGACTGAAGAACAAAAGGACAGCAACTTGTCTGTTCCTCTTCCCCGATTCCTGAATGCTGTTCCCCTCCCTAATTCCCCAATAAAATCTTTTTTAAAAATAAAATAAAATAAAATAAAATAAAATTATAGTTGACATACAATATTATTCAACATCAGCTTCAGATGTACAGTGGAATGGTCAGGCCCGTACGCCGTCTATGAAGTGGTCTCCCTAACAAGACATGAGTCCATCTGGCCCCTAAAAAATATTTACCACATTATTGATTATATTCCCCAGACTGTCTTTTCTATCCCTGGGGCAATATTGTACTTACCAATTTATATTGTCTTGTCCCTTCTCCTTTTCCTTCATCCCCACCCCCTCTGAACTAGCAACCATCAGTTTTTCCTGTGTCTCTGAGACTATTTCTGTTTACATTTCCCATTTATTCAGTTCTTTAGATTCCACATATAAGTGAGATCATACGGT